CGCTTCGCAAATTCCAGTAGGATTGTATTGTTCAGAGGCTCGGTGAGCCAGGCGGTTGCAGCGGCGCTAGGAGTGAGCTTGCGGAAGCTCTATTAAATCCATTGCAGCGAAAGTTGTATCTGCAATTGTTCGTGCGAAGGCATTTTTGAGAAGGGCTCGAGGCGATCGTGTTGCTGATGGAGGGCGACTACAAGGGTGCTGGCGTTGCGAAGGCTCAAGATCTAGAACTTGTTCCTTTGCTGCAGTGCAGCAAGTGGTTGGTATTCCCTGAGGTAGCGGCAACAACGATCCTACAATATTATTTTTACCTTCTTCTGAACTCTTCCCTTTTAGGTGTGTTGCAGAGGCGTGTGTTACAGGAGCTCCGAGCACTCCGACTGTAAGAGTTGTTCCTTGCACTTTGCGAATTCTGATGTTGAGGTGTCACGTTCAGAGGCTTGGTGAGCCGGGTTGCATAGTGGCGTTGGGGTTGAAGGTGGCATTGCCACTATTCTCCAACCTGTTTTGGGTTATCTTCCTGTTTTCCCCTCCTCGATTTTGTGTTTCGAAGACTCCACAAGGGTGGTTGGGCTGCAGTATTGTGGCGATCCCTCGTGGTTCTCCTGGATTATTTCTTATGCAAAGGTTGGAGGACTTGGAAGAACACCTATTGAGCAGCATTGATTTAGTTGGTTCACCAAAGGCTGTGGACTTGCAACGAGGTCAATTGGCGGCGTTGGAGTGTAGTTGATTTAGTCAAAGAATATGCAATCACCGCGGCCTGAAACATGCAGCAATTGTGTTAACGACCAGTGTCACATCAGGCAGCCATTGTAAGAGCTAGCCCAACAATTGGGTCATCTTTGAGTGCAATTGCAACATCTGTGAAGGCTACTACGACAAAGATTAAGAAGCAAGCAAGTAACAAAGTCATAGGCCCACAATCAAGTGCCATAGCTTGACGTTCTACTAGGATTTCCTTGTTTGCTTCCCCGTCAGCATCGACATTTGTATCCTTAGATTCTGTAAGTGCAGAACCATACAACTTTGCGTAGAAAAATTGTCACCCTCAGACAATTTCTCGGCAACTGATTTTGATTTGGGTTTTACCAAATTGTAGTTCATGATTAGGATATAGGAGCCGCAGCTTTTGCATTCCGTATATATGTCTTGTGAAGGATTTTTGCTTGGGATTTGAAGTTGTGCTTACAGATCTGACGCCCTCTGGGCATAGTGAGAAGAGATAGAATCACGCGGGTTTTGGCTAAATTGTAGCCAAAGGCAAGCTTTTCCCAGATTCATGATTACAGAACTTGCTTCCATTTGGAGTGGTTGATTATGATTCAACGGTCTAGTTAAGCCATTCCTATCAGAGGGATTGGATGAGTTGGATTAACGTTGGCAAACAAGAAAATGATCAAGGGAAGAGAAGGGAGCATCTAGAGCATCGGAACAACACATGTCCAAAGCAAAAGAATTAAAAGAATCAAAAGAAACCATCTTCATGTAAAAGCGAGACGTTTGGATTGGATAATTGGAAGCTAGACGAAACAAGGTTAGGATGCATTTAGGTTAGAGTTCTGATGAACCATATTGGATGTTGGATGAACTTAATCAAAGATAAACTTCAATCAATTGGATGAAAATTATAGATAAATATTGATTAAAATTAGATGAAAATTCATTCACGGATGAGAACTGCTTGGACGAATTTTGAATTTTTGGGATGATATTTAATACTAGATAAATTTTAAAATAAATTAATTAATTAAAAATTAAAAATTATATAGAATTTAATTAAAACATTTAAAAAATTATCTTTCAAGTGTGTTCTTTGTTGAGCTATTTGAATGCTTTGTATTGTTTTTTTGTGGTATACAAGAGTGGTTTTTTACTACTTGAGAGAACTAAGACAAAGTAGAAGATAACTTAAGCAATTAAATTGTAAGCTAATTAATAATGGTGAATTAGAATAGATTACTTATTAGAAGGATTTGTGTCAATCACAATTGGTGCTTTTATTGGAATTATTGGATACTTAAGCAAACAAGTAATAGGAACTTGTTAGAGAATTTAAATAATTAAAATTATTATGAATTAGAATAGACTCTCAATTAGTGGGGATTTATTTTACTTCATAAGGAGATTCTATGAGCTATAAATTATTCTAGGGATAATAAAATAAAATAAAAAATAAAATAGTTTATTAAAACTTACACAAAATCAAAGAGGATCTTAGATGGCTTCAGAAATGTTTGAAAGAATATAGATTTTTTTTTTAATTAAATAATTATAACTAATCTTAAAAGATTTAGGTATATTTTAAGATTTAAAAAATATATATATATTATAGACAACTATAAGATTTTAGGAAGATCTAGAATGATTTAAATTGTCCTTGTATTTGCTGTTTATTAAATACCTATTATACCTAGGATAAATGCAATTGAATCATTCTATATTATTCTTATCTAAAGAGTTAATTTTATTAAGATTATCCTAAAAAATATAATCTTGTTGTTAAAATAAATAAATAAATAAATTTACTTAATAATATTTGTAAAGGTACTTTATTTTATGTACATTATTTTAAATAAATTTACTTAAAAAATATTTGTAAAGGTACTTGTTTAATAATTTATTAAGTAGTTCCTTTGGATTATTTTATCTTATTTTTTTTATTTACACCTTAATAAAATTTTACTTATATTTTTTAGATATTAAGAATATATGCACTAAGAAACATAGTACGTTATCTACTCAAATTTCTATAAGTAATTTAAATATATATATATATATATGTATATAGTTATATATATATATATATATATATTTGTTTTACATTATGAGTATTCAGTTAAGTATTCTTTTATTTTTAGAGTTATTAATATAATCTTAAACAAAGAAAGTTTCTCAAATCAAGTAGGAAATATTTTTTTGGAAAATAAACTTCTTCTGTAGATGTGAGACATTTTATAATAATGTACATAAAAATAGGGAATTGCTAGGTGGACACCTTTCTTTTATTGCATGGATATCCCATGTGCCACACATCAATTTAATGAACATATAAAATAAATGATCATTATTTGGAACTAAGTTTGAAGACTCTTGTGTTATATTTGTTACTTGAATTTCAGTATAAACAAAATCAACTTTGTTGAAACCCATACACATGTAATGGATCATAAGTTTTATAAAAACAAAAATATAAATATAAATAAAAAATAAAAAATAATCATAAAAAAAAGTCGGCTTTGTTTATAATAAAATTCAAGTAAAAAACATGATACAAGAGTCTTCAAGCACAATTTTAAATTATGATCATTTGTTTTATTTGTTCATTAAATCAATGTGTGGCACGGGAGGTGTTCATGCAGTAAAATAGGGGTGTCCACCTAACTATTCCCTAAAAATATTTAGAATACTTTTAAAGATAACAAATTGTCTTGCTTTGCATTTATACTATAAATCCTTGAATCTCATTTGTATGCATGTATCTCTTTTCTTTTTATTTCTTTTACTTACCATCAAAGTATATCTGTTATAGTTGATGGATGTGACTTTTGTTTGGTACCTATTTGCACTGTACTAGGGAAAAATGCAAAACATGAGGACCTCTAATAATATATTATACAACTTGGTTGCACGTTCCCTACCTTGCATATAGCCCCTGGCTTGGTGTGATATTATTCATTAGTTCAGATTTTTGAGTGCACTTGTGGAAAGCTGGACATTTTGTTGCACAGTGGCATTGCACATGAAGAATTTGTGAGGCAATCATCAGTGGAATTCAAGGGACAAAAAGCTAATTTATGCAAGACTTTTGCCTTCAATGCTTCCACTTTTTTATTGATTCCTGAAAGTTCTACCAGGCTCAAAGTATCTTTAGATCAATAAGGCTGCTCTGAAATAAATGTAGCATGTGTTAAAGCCCCATGATCCATGCTGTAGACCAGTGAACTTCAAAATGTGGATTTGCATCTCAGAAGTCTTTGAATGTGCCGATGGCAATGAGAAGAGCGAAGGTGGTGCACACAAAAATTGTAGGATGTGTTAAACTCTAATATTTAATGCTTCATAGGTTCAGAAAATAGTTTTAATGTAGACAACACAATAATTTGAATACTATTCTAGTGAGGAAGGCAATCAAACAACTTGTAGATTGAAGCATGGCATGTTTGAAACAATTTTCCAACAGTAAACCTGATAAAATGGATATATATATATATATATACACACACAAACATACACACACACACAGTATTCTGTGTGTTCTTAAATGCATCCTCCTCAATGCTGAAGTGGAGTCCATCGAGGAGACTCAAGTCATCACGAAACACTGATCAATGAAGACAAGGCCTCTAGGTCGGAAACGCATCCATAGCATCGACGTGGTGCTTCACTATGATCGTCAACCATACTTAACTCTTGAAGCTACGATAACGGACCAGGTAATTATCGAAGCCGTGGTAGCCACCTGAGATTACAACAACGTCGTAGCTGAGATGTACCGAACCACAACCATTGCTTGCAAATACGGCCTCCAGCACCACCTACGTCAATAAGTGATGTTGCTAAACAGAAAGAATGCTGCAAATTATTCATGGTGCTCAATCTGACGACAAGGCAGAATTGACCAGATGACCACACCTTTGATGTAACTAATGACCAGATGAGTTAAACCAAAGATCTGGGTAAGCTTACCCTACATGTCAAGAGACACCTTAAATTGTAGAAAGGATAAGGACTTGCTGTATCATTAGGTATGGGTCTAGATTATAGACTCTCCGCAAGCTTTTTATGAAAACAAATTATACCCCCTTTTGTAGATTAGTGATCGTCCCAGTTCAAAGAGAATCAAATAAGCACGCTATGATAGAGAACCTTGTCTTCTTTCTATATTGCGACATAAAAACACACCATGAAGCCCACAAGACCACAGAATATTCCATTCTCGTTATCAACCTTCAAGGGAGAGGAGGAGAGGCTTGTTGCGTCGTTCAATTTTTAACTCTTGATTATGAATGGTTGGAATGGCTTGAAATTAAAACTTAGGGCAGTCCAACAGCCCAGTGATTACTGTCAACACTTCCACCTCACCAAACACGTTGACCAGGAGATGAACTGCAGATAGTAACGAGCAGATTGAACAGACGACGAAATCTGTTGCAGCAACTGCTGTAACTAGCATCACCAACGTGGAAGCCAACTTCCATCCACAGTAATTTAGGAGGAGAACTCGGCTTAAAAATCTCTTAAACGAGTCCATCGATTAGAAGTCAGCACCGCCCAAAATAATTGGCGAAAAAACTTCAACACCCAACTAAGGTGAATAAAATTTTCTCATTCAAGTACTTGAATGAAGAGAAGAAGCTGTGTACAAATGTGTACCAAGGGCCTACAGCCCGTCACTGAAACATTCACAGTTCTAGTTATACAAATCATCGTCATCTGCAGCACCACCAAATGCCGGAGTGGTTTCTGCGGCATAGGGTGCTCCAGTGGCAGCGGCAGGGCGATCTGCGAATCGAAACTCCGACCCAAACCCACGTGATTGCTGAAGAGTCTGGGCAAATGCTTGATATTTGCGAATGTCAGCATCGCTCACACTGCGGCGAGCAAACTTCATGGCTTCCTCGAAATGACGAGCTTTGATTTGTGCAACTTCTTCCACCTCGTCTTCTTCCATGGCTTCAGGATTCTCAGCCCTTCTCTTCTCCCTTTCAATGTCCTGCAAAAAACCTCAGAGGGCAGGCGTTAGACTCCTCACGACAAGAATCACAAACTATCTGAAGAGACACTCAAATTGCAACTGAGGAATATCAAACTGCTCTAAACAATGACCATGATCAGTGATATTGGTTGCAGTTGCCACAAGTCTAAGTTGAGACCCATGATCTAAAACGCATAACAACCAGCTATTCTACACAAAACCCCACAGGAGAATAGAAGTCACTAACCTTCTCAATGTCCTCACGAATAGCGTACTTGGAGGCACGCTGGCAAATTTCAGTTATATCTGCACCGCTAAAACCTTGTGTAAACTTCGCCAAAGCCTGCAAATCCACTTCTTTCGCTATAGGCGACTTTCTCAAAGCGGCCTGGAAGATTCTCAAACGAGAAGCTTCATCTGGTAGTGGAATATAAATAAGTTGATCCAAACGTCCAGGTCGGAGAAGAGCGGAATCAATAATATCAGGTCTGTTCGTCGCACCAATAATGAATACCGTTTTTTTAGCATTCATACCATCCATCTCTGTGAGCAACTGATTCAAGACACGATCAGCTGCACCACCGGCATCCCCTTGACTACTGCCACGCTGTACAAGCCATCACAGAAGACACAACGTCAGTATCCATAATATGGTAAATATTTACATATTTGAGAAGAGACAGTCAAAAGCGTAGCATGTAAATTTCCCGAAAGAAATGCCCAAATGTTTACTGAACTAAGAAAACAGAACCTAACTACATGATCAAATGGTTGTAACATGAAGCAAGATGTCATAGTTCTCTAAAAAGAGTGCAATAAACCTGATTTGCGATCGAGTCCAGCTCATCAAAGAAAAGGACACAAGGAGCTGACTGGCGAGCCTTATCAAACACATCGCGCACGTTTGCTTCACTCTCACCAAACCACATGGTCAACAACTCTGGTCCCTTCACACTGATAAAATTAGCTTGGCACTCGTTCGCAATTGCCTTGGCAAGAAGCGTCTTTCCACATCCAGGTGGACCATAAAACAACACTCCCTTTGATGGTGACATTCCAAATTTCTCAAACTTCTCAGGATGCTCCACTGGATATTGCACAGTCTGCCAAACCAATGCAAACCAAAGACATGAGTCAAAGCTGGTGGACAAAACATAGCAGATACAGTGAATAATAACATAAAAACAAGCAGCAACAGAAACGTGAAGAAAAGGTACGAAACTTTGAAGGGCCGAGCTTCCCTTTATAGCTAGTTTTTCCCCACAAAATGAATATTCAGATGCCCTGACTAAGATCAACACACACTTTTCTGCAAAGCACATGAAAATACACAATCCTCAATAGGAAGTAACACAGTTTAAGTACCTCTTGTAGCTCCCGCTTAACATTCTCCAGACCTCCAATGTCTTCCCAGGTGGTATTGGGCACCTCCACCACGGTTTCCCGAAGTGCAGAGGGGTTACTGATGCCAAGAGCAGTCTGAAAATGCTCATTAGTTACAGCCATAGAATTAAGCACTTCAGCATCAATTGTTTCATCTTCCAAGTCTATCACATCCATCTTCTCACGAATACATTGTAGTGCTGCTTCTGTACATAGTGCAGCTAAATCAGCTCCAACAAACCCATGAGTGTCATGAGCAATCCTCTCCAGGTTGACCTACATTCCAACAAAGGAAGATATGAGCGATTATTTACTGCATGAAAAATACGAACAACACACCGAGAAATAAAACAAGACTGGAATCAATCCAGATACTATTTAAACAAAACCATCATAAGAATAACTGAAAAATGGCTTTAAGAGTACAACTTACATCCTCGGCCAGCTTCATGTTCTTCGTATGGATACGAACTACCTCTAGTCGGCCAACTTCGTCTGGAACACCGATATCGATCTCACGATCAAACCGTCCAAAACGACGTAGAGCGGGGTCAATACTGTTCGGACGGTTGGTAGCTCCCATGACAATGACATGGGCACGTGACTTTAAGCCATCCATAAGTGTCAACAACTGGGACACAATTCGCCTTTCCACCTCGCCTTGAGTCTTTTCCCTGTAAATCAGAGCACAATAATGAATTATATACCAAATGCTCCATCGTCTTGTCTGTAAAGGAAGACCAAATGGCACATGAACTGAAACAAACCATCAGCGTGTCACATTCACAAAAATATTGTTCACCTATTTCCCGATACAAAGAACTGCAATGCTATCTTTAGAATTCATGATGTTTTGAAAAGAGAGAGCCAAGTCTTAAAAACCTCTTCGGTGCAATAGAGTCGATTTCATCAATGAAAATGATGGACGGCGCATTTTTCTCTGCCTCCTCAAAAGCTTTTCTCAAATTACTCTCGCTCTCACCAGCTAACTTTGACATGATCTCAGGACCGTTAATAAGGAAAAAGAAAGCTCCGGTTTCGTTGGCTACCGCCCTAGCGATCAATGTCTTTCCTGAACCAGGAGGACCAAACAACAAAATACCCTTGGGAGGCTTTACACCAATGGACTTAAAGAGTTGAGGATGTCGTAGAGGCAACTCTACGAGCTCGCGGATCTGCGCCATCTGCTTGCGAACTCCACCCACATCATCATAACCAACTTCATCTAATCTTTCCTCGTCCTCGCGCCTGTGCTCAGGAAAGACGACAAAATGAGTCACGAGAAAATCTCAACAGCAACACATTTTCATGACCCACGCAAAATTGACTGAGCTATTTACTAAAATACTGACATCTTCGAAGTAGTCCTTCGATAATATTCAGCATTTTCACCTTAACATCTTTACCAATTTGGAGATAAACAAATAATAACTGACCTCAAAGGCTCGCCCTCGCAAAAGATTTCAGTATCGGGCGCAACAATGCAATATTCTGCAGGGTCTGTTTCTACAACTTTAAACTCCACGCTCCTCATACCTCCCCGCACCAGGAATAAATCACCTTTGCGAACTGGCCTGTAAGCTTCCAGGAAGTATGCTGCACCCAAACGCACGTGTTCGGTGAGCACATGAACTCCTAAAACAAATTTCATTCCTTCGCACCTAATATCTTATTCATGAACCGTCTAGACATATGCAAAAACTGTGAAATGCGCGCCTGTACACACAAAAAGATCCAACATTAAAACGGAAGTGAAAAAACTTACGCTTCAAGTAAGCGTCGAAAAGGTTTCCAGTAACTCCTTCAATTGAATCATCAAATGGAAGGACATGGATACGTTTTCCATATTTCACGTCTGCACATTGGTGAACTGACACCACATCTCCTAGGCGAACCCGAAGATTGGCTCTCACCACCTTGTTCATCCGTATCTTAGGTTCATCACAAGTGTCATCAGCTAACACAATACACACAGTGTCCTTGCGTTTCTTGCCCTGCAAGGAAAATAAGATATGTAGAATTAAATGTTGAGAACAACTATACCCTCTCAAAGAGTTAATACAAAGCAGTTGGACATCACCAAAGTAAGGTCTAGGAGTTACGCACTAAAGAGCCACTACCAAAAACACATAACGCAGGACTCCTCTAGATAACCATGTTAGGATGATAAGACGAACCTTAATCAGCACAGTGTCTCCACGAAAAAGCTGCAGCTTTTCCATGGTCTCCATGTTTAATGCTACCACAGAGTTATCATCGTTCACAGCTTCGTCAACAATCAAACGATTAGGAGCCTTCTTGCGCTCCAAGATAGCAGTAGAAAAATCCTTTTTTGAAGATGGCTTGCTGCATCAGAAGTACAAAGAGAGACGGTGAGTAACAATACGCACTCCGAAACGATCAACTGAAAACCTGTCAAAACCTCAATGAAGTAAGTCTACAAGAACAAACTTGTACTTCATCAGATGACAGACCTTTCAAGCATGACGAAACCTTCATGGGCTTTAAATTGTATGCCAAATCCGACCCAGATTACGCAGAAGACCACGAGGCCACACATAATTTACATCCAAAAACCCGAGGACACGAACGAAAAACCCACGACCAAGGAGAAAACACTGTCACATCCAGACCCACAATACATTTCGACCAATGGTAAGCCAAGACAGCACTTGATGCACTAATTATACTACAATCGGCAGAAAGCTCGTACTCCAAAATGCAAGAACAGACACCGATATTTCACTCTCAAAGACACTATCCCAAGCCTGTTGTAGGAACAAAATAAGAATTCAAATTAGAAGACATGCGAGAGCTCAATAATCTACAAAACAGTAACAACCACATTGTCACGAAGAAAAAATACATAAACACACAACGAATCGGGCAGGAACCCTAGCTGATTTCACACGCATCCCAATTTTCCCAAACCATGCCACTGAAACCAACCAGACTTAACTCAACTCGGCAAAGAGCCGGCAAAGACTCAATTGCACATCACACCGCATCAGCTCTCAGTCCCGATTTCAGCCCAAGCATTCGAAATCACAAGCACATGTCCACTCAACGACAAACCTATCTACAGCAAAAGAACACCCCCATCAACGAACACAGCAACACCAGAACAGATAGAGAACGAGCGTTACGGGTCCGAGGGTTCCCCGGGATGCGCGGCCGCGGGAGTCGCCATGGCCAAAATCACAAACTCGCTTTCCTACTCTCGCTTGTTCTCCCTCTCACAGACACAACTGATTCAAATGTAGATTTCTCCCAAATCAAGGTCGGGTAGCAACAGTCATGTATCCTCCCGGATCGAGTTCATGAGCGGGGCAAGAGATCGGTGGGACACGGTGGAGAATTGGAAGGGTGAGGCGGGGATGTAGAGTGGAGGGAGCCTCCTCCTCTGCGGTAGGCGGTGATGTAGAGGCAGCAGCAGCTTTCTCTTCCTTTGCAAAAGCAGGGGAAGACGACGAGGAGGAGCGGGTGGAAGCCTGAGGTGCCTCGAGAAGGTTCTTTCATTCCTTCCCCCCCAGCTTCCCCTTCCTTGCCCTGCTCCTTCACTTCACCTCCACGCTCCCCTCCCCAGACGAATGAATTAATGAACAATTCATCCTAGTTACTGGATGGTTGTGGATGACATCCTCCCTCTGTTCGTCATACAGAAGGCCCTATGGCGTCATTACCAGTCCAGAAAACCCACGAGCCAAAAAATAATGGAGAGAGAGAGTCTTCATTCGTTCATATTACCCTTCGTTTACTTTCATACATCCGTGTTTGTATGAAGATGAATGTTTGATGCGGGTTCGGGCTTCATCCTAGGGGAATTGGATGGTAGTAGTGGCGCCGTTGGATGCATGATGGAGATCCACGGTGACGGTGGGTCGTGGGGGATTGGGTGGCATTGTTGGGTTTGACGATGCCGAACAGCCAATTCGATTTGACCTGGGAACTTGTTTGATCTGGTAAAAGCAAAAGGCTGGCGCATCACTATGGATGTTCTCTTCGACGTGACTTTTTTACTTTTGAGGGAATGCCCATTCTTCATGTCAGAAGTCTTCTTCATGGAAATAATTAAGATTAAGACTGTTTGTTTGTCATTAACTTGGTCAAATGATATCAAAACCCAGTTTCAGACTTAGTTGATAGTAATCTGATTGGTAAATCAAATATATTCAAAAAGTAGTTATTATAAAGACTGAACACGTAAATTGTTTTAAATGACAAATTTAGCATTTTGGGGTTCACAGACACTGATTCATATACATATATATATATATATATATATATAATTGAAAATATACATTTTAAATAATTGATATTGATAATTGTTTTAGACAACTGATATTGATTCTTTAGGAGGAGCCTTTAGGCAAACAACACAGAGAATATACTATGAAGGTTTCAATTTGTTTATGAGTCCAACAAAAATATTATTACATAAATAAAGGAAACATGGATTGAGTACAAGAAACATGATGGCTTTCAAAAAATAAATGTAAAATAAAATAAAATTGAATATGCTATTTTTACAATTTAAATGTTTACTTATTGTTAATTTGTGTAATAGACGAATAATGATGACTCATATTACAACCTAACATAGATTCAAAAAAAATAAATATAAACAATCTTTTATAAAAATAAGAACATTCTTTGAACTTATAATAAAAGCTAATAAAAACATTCTCTTTGGAAATATTTAAAAAAAAAAAAAAAAAAAAAAAATGAGTAAACCTCAAAAGTTAATAAATGTTAGCCTTAAATTTTCAAAGGTAACATTAACAATTCAAGAATGATGAACCATTGGAACAAGATAAATATAATTTGGTATTTTCAAGTTGATAAGATACAGATTATATTTAAATGTGTTTGATGATTTTTTAAAAAAAAAATCATTAAAAAGAACATGTTTATGCTTTTAAGTAGTACAAAATGATATAAGGTTTTATGTACAATGCACATGTATATATACACATATGTATTTGAATAATAATTGAACCAACAATTTCTCTAAAATATTATGAGGTAGTTAAAAACTTCTATGGCAGTACAAATAATGTAGGGATGTTACTATTGATGATTTTTACGTATTTTTAAGCTTATGCAATGTTTGTATTCAGAAAAATGTGTTTCAAAGACTTTATGAGAAATAAACTTTGACTATACGTTTCTTTTTCTTTTTCATCATTGTTTTAAAAATAACTGAAAATTTCTAAAAGTTTTGAACTTGACTTTGGCAACATAGTATTTACCAGAAATTACTTTGTTTTTGTATGCATGATACAGTGTGTATGTATGTGTATGTAAACGTGTATGTATATATTCATAACTTTTTTCTTAAAATATTTACATTAATCTAAATTTGTACAACAATATTTATCACTTTGCAATCAAACTTTTAAAAATGTCTGATTTACTCTCATCATACGAAGGTATTGATGTTGTTCACAAGTAAATACTTTTGGTTTACATTTCTATTTTTATTTAATTTATCTTGATATGTTTTAAATTGAATTAAACAACAATTTTAAATATATTATACAAATATAAATTAAAAGAATTTTAAATATTTCAAACACACTTTGACTGTATTTTTGCAAGCTTAGCAAAGAATAATACGGATATCTTTAAATTGTGCTCCACCTTGTTCTTCAACTAAAACAGTTTTTTCACAAATCCAGTTGTTATGTTATACTGCAAAGAGTTTACAAAGATAAGTTGGCACTCTAGAGTAAATTTACATAATTTTGGCATAAAAATGTCATCAAAAGTGCAAGTCATTGAAAACTCTATACTACAAAACTCTATTTTTTATTTTTTTATTTTAAGATATATTTTTTTAAAAATAAACTACAATAATGTATATATATATATATATATATATATATATATTCTTTAAAATATTATTGTAAAACTTAACATCTTAAGCCTGTAATTGTTTTGTATTTCTTTTAGTAAGTGTTGTACTTAATACTATTTCAAAAAATATTATCATAAATTTTCTTCTCTAATTGTTTTATTTAAATTCTTCTCAAATTATTCCGTGAGTTTATAACATTAAACTGAAAGTAGAATGTACTTTAAACTTAGCCTTTTTATAAAGCAATTTTAGCATTTTAAGGACTGGCTAAAATTGTGAGATGTCCAAATTATTATTTATTACCTATTTTAATTTTTTGAATAAAATAATTAACTTACCAAATAAGAATTCTAATTTATAAATCCATAATTTTTTAAATATAAATTATTATTTGAAATTCGGAAATAGAATATGTATATTTAAAAGATAGCACCAATTTATATTTTATAAAACTTAAATTAAAATAAACAAAAAATTCACTTAACATAAAAATGAAATAAATAAAATTAGAAAAATATGTTATAATATATCATATATATATATATATATATATATATATATATATATAAACATACATACATACATACATATACATATCAAAATTCAACTAAAATAATTAGTTCATGTTAACTTGGTAAATAACTTATTATTTTTGAATCAATTATGGTTTATTTTTTGCATTAATTTTGTACAATAATAAATATTTAAAAATATATGTAAATTTTTTAACAAATTTATCATTGAGATATACTAAATTTTTTTTATTTATTTATTAATTTTTTATTACATACTTCTCCAATATTAGAACGTTTCATTTTAATTAAAATTTGGAAATTTCCTCAGAGTTAAATGATAATCTTTTAAGATAGGTTTACAAATAAATAAAATTTCTGATCATTAACTATCTCCTTTGAGATTTGAATGTCGTAAAAAATATGTGAAAATTTTAAAATATTTTTCTTACATATTTTTTTTTATAAATATAGATTTATAAATTTTATAAATTTTATAATTAATATTCACAATTTCTGAAGAATTATTCTTTGCTTATCTCACTTCGACTATAAACGTTTTTTAGCTGTAGTATTTTGTTTCATTTTCTAATCTACTGAAAAAATAATTTTTAAAAATTAATGAATTTATTAATAAAATCATGGTAAATCTTAGGCAACTTGCATTACAGTTAATTAATCTTTTTTTCAAATACAACAATTTGGTACTATTTGCATGTGTATTAATATTTTGACAGCTAAAACTACTTGTTGAGTAAAAACATTGTTAATCATATTAATAATTTTTTATAAAATTACATAATGATATAAAGAAATTTCTATTAAATTTGCCACAACCTTAAAGTTTTAGACTAATAAATGATAGTTTTATCTAATATAACAATAATTTTTTTTATTTATGCTTAATTTTTTTTTTTATATATTTTCAATACTTCTCTACTTTTGATATAAATTTTTCTATTAATCAAAGTGTGTAATAAATCTTTAAAAAGGGATATGTAAATTAATCTTGTACAATTTAAAATTCTTACAACATAAGAAAAAATTCAATATGAAGAAACAAAATTTTATCTAAATTGTAAAATTTAAAAATTTAAAATTATATATACATATATATATAAAAAGAGAGAAAGTGTAAAAGTGAAAGAAAGTGAGAGAGAGTGTGAGAATTATTACTAACACAACTTACCTATCTGGTGTTGTTTTACCTCTTATAACCTTCTCTTAAACAATTAGTAAATTGAATGCCTGTTTTATTTGCATTTTTTTCTTCTTTTCTTTGCTTTAAAAAAATGGTATTTGACATGAAGACATTAAATATTTAATAAAAAATTGGTCATAATTTTTTATTTTTAAATATACATATATTTATCTTAGAAATTGTTTAATTAAAAAAATATTGGTTTGTTATATTTTATTTTTTGGTTTCTAAAAACACAAAAAACTTAGTTTTGAATGTGTTCATTTTTTAGGTCAATATTGGATTACTAGACGTGTGCTTAATATAGAAGTATGCTTTTAGGTCAACTCGAGTTCTATAAAGGTCATGTAGAATGTAGTAATATCAATTAGAAATATGGAATTAACAATTCTATCTCTCTCTTTATTTCTTTTCCATATATATATATATATATATATATATATATATAGTATATCAAAAAATAAGTCTTTTTGATTATAACAATAATTTTATATGTATTCTTATCTAAAAAATAATTTAATAAAAAATATGTATTATATATTTAACTTAAATTTATATTAAATTTATATTAAAATATAAATTTATATAGAATTCAAAATTATCATGTAATATGGCATCAAGTGCCAAATCTTGTCAAATATATGTAATTTAGTTAGGTTACTTGTTTTACATCCATTGATAGTTTTTCCATTAATTAATTTTATTCATATCAACTAGGATTTGAATACTTAGACAGTGAAATATCTTTAATCAAACATTCTTATTAAGTCAAATCTTGTGAATAATTTTTTACAGAGAGAGAACTTATTGTAGAAGTTTGCTTGACTATGGTGATTTAGTCATTTAATAAAGCTTTAAGGTTTTCTTTATCTTTATATTTACACATTTGGATTTCCTCCTTTGTAGAATAAAAAATAACTTGACCTAAAT